CAAATTTTCTGGCATATTGAGTGCAGCAGTTTCACAGCATCATCTTTTAGGATTTGAAAGAGCTCAACTGGAATTCTATCACATCCACTAGCTTTGTTCGTAGTGATGCTTTCTAAGGTCCACTTGACTTCATATTCCAGGATGTCTGGCTCTGGGTGAGTGATCACACCATCATGATTACAAAGTACAAGGTAGGTGGTCAAGAAATTATTTTCTAAAATAATATTAAAAAACTTTAGTTTGCATAGGTAATCCAAGAATGAAGGGGTGAACAAGCCATGTGTGAAAGAAACTAAAAATGAGAACACAGTATTATGTAGGTGACAGATCAAGCTGAAAGGAGGCTGGGAATTTAAAAGTGAAGGCCAGTGTTCAGTGGTAGGTCGGCTAAGAAACTTTCACGAACAGGGATGTCTAATGCTTAACCACACGATATTTGCTGAATCGTGACAATTAAAACACTTTCTTAACCTTAATCCCCAGATTTTTAAGTATGATCTCCTAACCAAAGTGATTCTCTTTTTCATTTGGGTGAACACCTAAGAAGAAAAGAAAAGAAAATCCATATGAGGAAAGACACTAGAAAATTCAAGAAAAGATAGAAATCAGGGCAAAAGGAAGACAGAAAAAAGTATAAATCCTTGAAATATTATGGTGGACTATGAAATTAGGAATGCAATCTGTAATTAAAGCTATTTATTTTTTAAGAGCACAGTGAGCTATCACCTCATACCTGTCAGAATGACAATCATCAAAATGAACACAAATAACAAACGCTGGCAAGGGTATGAAGAAAAGGGAACACTTTTGCTCTGTTGGTAGGAACGTAAACTGTGGAAATCTGTATTGAGGTTTCTCAAAAAACTGAAAACAAAATTACCATATGGTCCAGCAATTCAACTCTTGGAAAACTTCCCAAGCACAAATTTATAAAGATCCATGCACACCAATGTTCATAGAGCATTATTTACAATAGGCAAGATATGGAAGCAACCTAAATGTCCATCAATAGATGAGCGGACAAAGAAAATATGGTGTACACACACACACACACACACACAGACACATTACTCACACAAAGAGACACACTACTCACACACACACACACACAGACACACTACTCACACACACACACTACTCAGCCATAAAAAGAATGGGATTTTGCCATCTGCAGAAACATGGATGTACTTGGAGGTCATTATGATAAGGAAAATAAGTCAGAGAAAAACCAATATCCTCTGATATGAATTGTGTGTAGAATCTAAAAAACACATTGAACCAGTGAATATAACAAAAAAGAAGCAGACACAGATATAGAGAACAAACTAGTGATTACCAGTAGGGACCGGGAAGGGTAGCTACTAAGTCACTTTAGTCGTGCTTGACTCTGTGCGACCCCATAGACAGCAGCCCACCAGGCTCCCCTGGGATTCTCCAGGCAAGAACACTGGAGTGGGTTGCCATTGCCTTCTCCAGTGCATGAAAGTGAAAAGTGAAAGTGAAGTCGCTCAGTTGTGTCCAACTCTTCGCGACCCCATGGACTGCAGCTCACCAGGCTTCTCCGTCCATGAGATTTTCCAGGCAAGAGTACTGGAGTGGGGTGCCACTGCCTTCTCCCAAGGGTAGAGAATACAGTATATTTAGGTAGGTATAGTATAGGTATGGGCTTCCCAGGTGGTACTAGTGGGCAACAACCTGCCTGTCAATGCAGGAGACATAAGAGATGCAGGTTCGATCCCTGGGTCAGGGAGATCCCCTGGAGAAGGAAATGGAAACCCACTCCAGTATTCTTGCCTGGAGAATCCCATAGACCGAGGAGCCGAGTGGGCTGCAGTCTATGGGGTTGCAAAGACTTGGACATGACTGAAAGTGACTTGGTACTTCAGCACATTTAGTAGAGGTATAATATAGTAAGAAATACAAACTATTAGGTATAAGATAAGCTATCAGGATATATTGCACAACATGAGAAAAATAGTCAATATCTTACAATAATTATAAATGGAGCATAATCTTTAAAAGTTGTGAATCACCATATTGTACACCTGCAACACATAGTATTGTATAACAACTATACCTCAATTAAAAAAAGAAGAAGAGAACAGGGAGTCTGAGTTGACTGAAAAAGGTTGGGACAAGCAAGCATGAGAAAAAGAGCAGCCAGATGGAGCTAAGATAGAAGTGACAGCAATCGGAGGACTGAAATATAAGACAGGAGAAGCAACTAAAGTCTTTGTGGTTGTTTTTTAATCAGAATGGTAAATGTTTTGAATAGATGTGCTAGAGAATCCCTGGGGAAGGGACCAATTTGGAATTATTACAATAATTGACAGAAAATTTAACAAGGGTCAAGCTTGGGCATAAAGGAATAGATGAAGATGTCTATAAGGGGATAAATCCAAGCTGCAGTATTGAAGCAAAATCTCTAATTTCTAGCAAATTATGGAATGTGGAATAGCAATGTTTATTATCAGAAGTAGACTAGGAAATCAAGATTAGATGCCTGGAATGCTGGCATGTACACTAACCAAAAACAAGAATAGGAGAAGGGAGTACTGTATTGAAGATCCGTTTCTGACACTGTCATATACAGGTTTGTTCTCTCTCACCAAACTGTGAGGCTGTTTGGTGCAAGGACTGGCCAAATATTTCACATAAATGTTTCTTAATGATAGTCATCTATTGTGGGTACTATCCATGGTCTCTTTTCCTTAGAAATAGAACCCATCATTTTTAGTTGGGCACATGGTTGCTTAGAATAAACTTTACATTTTCCAGTCTCCACTACAACTAGATAAGGCCTTGGAACTACAGAACAGGCCAAATGGATGTGGAAGAATCCTTAATGAAATAGGACATGTCTTGTTAATTGAGTGAAAGTCAGTTATCCACTCAAGCTGAGAGATGGATGCCAAAATGATGATGGTGAACAAAACAGAGAGAGCTTGGATCCTCAACAATTTTGTGAAGTCCCCCTGACAGTCATGGAGTACTTACTTCTAGATAGCCTTTAAATGAAAAAGAAAGAAATCCCTATTTTAATTCTGCTATTGATAGGGTGAGTCTTTTTCTAAACAATTTGTAGCCACATCTAATTTTCTCTAATATAGCTACCTTGATCATGTTTGTTATTTTCTTCAGTTCAATTTTTTCAAAGGTTTATGTAAATATTTATTCTTTTCTAACATTTAGAAATATTCTGGAATGCTGACCAGGCATTCTTTACATTTGATTGAAATTTTTTTTAATTTGATAAGTGACATGGTAAAAACGTCCTTATAAATATAGCATTACTTACCACAGAGTCTTATTGGAATATCAGGTGTATGACTGATATGTTCACTAACCAGAGACCAACCAAAATTCTCTTGTGAACAGTGCTTACGGTGGTCAAGTCTTAGGCCAAGGCCATTTATCAAAGTAGAAGCTGGACTAAACCTGCAGAGATAATAGCCACGGTCAGGAGAGAAAAGTGGTTTCTCTTCCATCTAGGTCAGACAAGCCATCGTGGGTACACGGAATATTAGAGGAGAATGACATCCATTTGCTTTTAATTATTTTCATAAAGTTAAACATTTTTCAGTCTTTGGTTGGTAGTTTACACTTCCCTACTTTCACCTTGAAATGCTTATTTTGGGCTGAGAACTCTAAGCCTGAAATTAATTACTTTCTTTTAACTGAGTTTTATTGGGTAGAAGATGCTGTCCTAAAACAAAAGGAATAATTGTAGACCTAGAAGTACTTTAAAAATCATTCATTCTAAGCCATATGGTTCACAGGCAGAATGGTCCAAAGAGGCTCATGAACATAATTAAATCTTTCTCAGTACAACTGTCTTTTCATTCATTGATTCATTCATTCATGTATTAATCCATTCAATGGCTATTTAATTGTTATGAATAAAGGATTGAGGAGAGGAAATTGTAACAGAGAATAAGGTCCTGGGCTCTATATATTTTCAGTTTAGTGGGGATAGAGATAAATTATCCAGATAATTAAAACTCAATATAAATCAAGATGTTGCAATCATTACTACAAAGAACAACAGAAGACAGAGGGACAGGAAAGGTAAATAGCAGAGACTTTATGAAGAAAGTTGCATTTTGCTGTACCTGAGAGGATGTGAACAAGTGAGGGTAGAATGGACATTTCAGACAAAGGGGTGACTTTCTTTTCAACCTTGTACAGTTGATTTCTGTACAAAGGCTTTTTCTTAAATTATTTTTAACATACATTTGGGTGGGAGAGTAAAATCAACTCATCCCAAAGGAGTCAGAGATGAGAATGGTAACTTTGTAAAGCTGGACATCATAAGTTAATGCTGCATTAAAAAGTGAGGCAACGTACAAAGGAATTCCTGCGAAGTTCACCAACGAAAGGGTCATGCTACCCTTCAGCATCTGGAGAAAATGAGTATAGTATGGTTTAAAACCCAAGAGCTACTGTTCACAAATGTCATAAATTAAATGACTGAAAAAGATGTCAGTAATAAGTAAAACTAGGGTTTCAATTTACAAGTGAAAACCCAGATAAATGTGCAGTATCAAGGAAAATCATATTTCATTTTATTCTATACTGTAATGAATTAAGCAGGCTAGGATTCACATATTCAGTCAGAAAGTGTATAAAGTACAAATGATCTAGAGAAAAATGCTGGTGTCTGTATGACTTCCACAAATAAATCTTATTTTTACTTTATAATGTATGTGAAAAATAGCTTCCCTTTACCTCATATTGTGACCAATTATGGTTTTCAGTAAGAGAGATATCTAGGATTTAACAAGGCACTTCATCAATAAGTGGTTCTGATAACACAGGCACATTCAGAGAATTCTGTTCCTAACTTTTACAACTGTAGAGAGGCTTTTTGACTATACAAACTGCTTAACTTTCTTACACCCATATTCCTCTACTGCTCCCCAGTTCACAACATGCTTTATATTCTACCTAACAGGAAATCTGCATTTCAGCTTTAAAGTCTGCAGGTAACCTTTAGTCACTAACCTTGCTGTCTTCTGTCTCCTTAGCTTTTCCTTGGAGGAGTTTCTTCTCTGCAAATTCACAGTTTGATTTGAAGGCGAGCTGACAAGAAAGCACTGAGCTCTCTAATTCGGTAAGTTCCAGAGGTCTCGAAGAAGAGCGCGGTGACTCAGTCGTGCCAAGACTTGGTATCAGAAGAGCAGTATGAACAGGCTTTGACCCAACAGCTGGCTGCGTTAGTTTTGAGGCAACCCCAAGAACAGGCATGGCTTCTATAAAAGTATCTTCTTGCTGCCAAAGAAAATGCTTCTAACCTCAGTCTGGTAGACTCCAACTTTAGTATTTCCAGAATAAATACTTTAAACAAAACTAGCAGTCATCATGATTAAAAAAAAAACTAATAATATAACTTTCAGGAAGAGGCAAAATTCCCCTTCATCTTTAGTTAAGTTTATTTCTTGCTGGCTTGAATTCTCATGTTTTCATTCTCTCATATATTCATTCTCTCTCCTCTGTTCAGTGTGTCACTGCCCAAGTAATATTAAATACTCCTTTGGGGAGGAAAACTTTCTTGAAGGTAACTGCTACAGAGCTCTTTCTCTAGGATTAAAGCGCTCCTAGATTTACTCTTTCTTCTCACTAGAGCAGTCTGAGTCTGAGCATTGTGAACGAAAAAGAACAAAAGGGAAACCCTTCAGTCCAACTGTCAAAGCAGCCAAGAGACCACAATAGCAGAAGGACAGGCATTCTTCCTGACTTCAGAAATCATCAGTCTACATTCTCTTTTTAAAAGAAAATTGTATTTCCCCCAGCTTAAAAAAAAAAAAAAAAAAAAAAGAATGGATGCAATTAATCGCCAAAACAAACAGCTGTTGGAAGAACTTTTAGCCCGGAAACAATCTCAGCAATGAAGCTGTTTGTCTCATTTCCAGCTATTTTTCACTACTGACAGCCATGAACCATGGTGTTCATTCTGTTTCATCCCATGAAATCAGGTTAAATTCATGCAATAGCAGCTAAAACTGCTAAATCACTCAGCAGATCATGACTGCCTAGGTTATGAAAACATAGTAAATACAAAGAGCAAGACACCAGATACACAGTAATCACTTTAAAATTTAATAATGGTGATAATAAAAATATTTAGAACTAATACATATGGGAAATGTACTGCATAGCAGTTACTGGGCAAGCACTTCACACATTATCACACTTAACCAATGGGATAACTCAAGAATAGGCACATGTATTTTCTCCACTTCAGAGAAAGGCTAACTCAGATTCATTTAAGTAATTTGATGAAAATCATGCAGTTAAAAAGTGAAAGAGCCTGTACTATTTAAAGAGTAAATTTAAAAACTAAGAAACAATTTAAAATAAAACTATTATTCAAGCTCATTAAATCTAACTTAAAATTCTAAACTTCTAAAAGGTGTCCATTGATATATTCAATGGCTATGAACAATAATGCTTCTACCCATAAAATGATTTTATGATCATCAGATTAAGTTTCATTTTTGGTAAAAGCATATCAGGAACTATAATAAAAGCAAGGGGTATGTTTTTAAGAAAGCATCTGATGTAGCATACTGTCTTTAAAGTAGTTGCATTTAGATAATGGGACCCCAGAGAAATTCCTCCACCATTTAGCAAAACCATACTTATATGATGGTCATGAGATTTCAAAAGAAAATTTATACATAATAACAGGAATTTATTTGATTTTATATCCCTTATGTTGGATAATTCTGTAAGACATTCACAGATTTCCTCCTCTTTTTAAAATTTTTATTTATGTTATAATTATCAACTATTTTAAGATTTAGTAAGATTCCAAGTAAAGCTCATGGAAAAATGAGTGAACATTTAGTATTCTTTCAAGAACTGGTGGCAAATATGAGAATCATAATCACTATTGTAGAAAATATCTCTCTATAGTGAAGGAATGATTTTATTTGTCCACTATTTCCAGGTCTAAAATTATTATGTACTTTTTATCCAATTTAAACTTGAATTTAATCTAAGAACTAAAGTACTTTTTTTGGTTCTTTTGATATAAGTATAGAAGAAATTTGAATACAAGTTAGATCTCACTAACCTAAAAAGTACCTCAAGTGGGCTTTACACAATGGGATAATAAGAAACAAACATAACACTAGTAGTGATAAAGAAACAGTTACTTTACATTTATAGTGGAAGTTAGTTACTTTACATTTATAGACCACTTAACACACTGTCTCTTCCAGAGACTATGAGATACTGCAAACCAGGAGATGTTCAAGTTCCTAAAGCAGGTTTTAAATTCTGTGAGAAGATATATGCACCCTGCAATCCTCACATTGCAGACACAATGGCATACCTAAAATAATAGCACTGGTGGGGAAATCAGGTTCTCAGAAGATCATTCAAAACATAAGCAAACTCGGGGAGCAGATCACTAACAAAAAATAATACTAGTACTCCGGAAGATAATTTGGACCACCCAGGCAAGCAATCAAGCTCAGAGTTAAAAACAAAACAAACAAATAAAATATTGAATAGAAGCACTGGAGATATTTTAATTAGAATTGGTAGAAAAAAATCTAGTTGAAAGGCAAACTTCTGAGTCCAAAGGTTTGCCACTGAAATGGGCATATGGGGCAGTACAACTGGCAAATATTTAAAAGTCACACAAAACAGGAGGCCCTGAATACAGGGACTTACTCTTTAAATTTTTTTAAAATTGAGCCAAAAAGGCACCTGTTGAGGGGATAGTATTAAAGCTGAGGATTTCTTTTCCTCCCCAAGGCTATAATTCTACCTTGTCTTATTCTGCCTCCCTTGATCTAGAATGTATGACATACAAAGCTACATAACTTCTACATTATATCAGCATAATTCTATTTACCAACTGTAAATAAGCTAATTGGTATTTCAGAAATGTGCTGGAGGGGAACACACTGTATTTCCTGATACAATCAAGTTGAAAAACAATGTTCACATGCAAAAAGGTATCTTTCACTTTGAAATACCTTTTGCTTATTACACAATATCATTTCACTAGGACAGAAATATAGAATTGAAAGTAGTCGCCGCTGATAGCCTAGGAAATTACATCAACCACTAAGTACAATAAAAACAAGCTAACTTATTTTAGAGAATTTACTGTGTGCCAGGCACCATCATCCATTTCATCCTAAAAAGAACACCACCTTTGAATAGGAGACAAAGGTGCTGAGAAGTAATTAACTTAAAGTCACAGAAAATGGGGTTTCTCAAACTGGATTCAACAAACTACCACCTGGAGTGCTTGCTAAAAATACAGATTCCAAATACAGATTCTCAAATTCATCCCAGATCTACTAAATAAGAATCATGAGGGAGAAGTTTATGAATTGAATTTAATAAATTGAATGTACACTAGATGTACACTAAATATACACTAAAATGTAAGATTAAGAATCTTACATTTTATTTGATTTGTAGCTTGACAGTTCAGGGGATGGACTCTAAAAAGCTTGATTGCCTGTGGTCAAATTTTGCTTCTCCACTTACTCACTGGATGAATCTGGCAGTTGCTATGACTCAGTTTCATCTTCTGTAAAAAGGGGAAAAAAATCTGCAGTTCTTTCACAAGTTACTTGTGAGAATTTAAAAAATGAGATAAATTAAGCCATTTTTCTCATCAAATCTGAGGAAAAGCAGCATACATTAAAATAGCACATTATTACATTATTCTAAACTGTCAATTCCTTTTAAAGAAAACCAAAAATGAATAAAATGCATTTTATGTTTATCCACATAACTTTATTTCCTGCTGTATGTATTCCTTTGTGTAGATGCAAATTTCCATCTGGTATCATTTCCCTTCTCTCTGAACAACCTCAATAACATTTATTTTATTACAGATTTGCTAGTGATTAACTGTCTCAGCTTGCTTGACTGAAAAAGGATTTACTTCACATCCATTTTTAAAAGAAATTTTTTTCTGAGTGTAGAATTCTGAGTTAATGATTTTCCTTCTTTGATACTTTAAGGATGCCACTCTATAGTTTTCCATTTGCATAGTTCCGAAGGAGAAGTGTGTTGTAATTCTGATCTTTGATCCTCCCCGTGTACTGCGGCTGGTTTATCCAGCTTTTGTTATGATTTGCTCATTTTACTCATTTTTAAAAATTTGATTTTGTCATGTTTCTTCTAGGTTCCTTAGTATTTAGAGTTCTGTCAAAGCTGGAAAGTTTAGAATAATTGTTTCTAAAACTATTTGTTGCCTCCCTCTTTCCTTCTGGGGCTCCAAGTACACACATGTTGGACCATTTGCTTTTGTACCACAGATTACTAATGCTCTAATTATTCCTTAGGTCTTTTTGTTGTTCAGTTGCTCAGTCATGCCCAGCTCTTTGCAACCCTATGGACTGCAGTATGCCAGGCTTCCCTGTCCTTCACCAACTCCTGGAGCTTGCTCACTCACGTCCATTGAGTCGGTGGTTCCATCCAACCATCTCATCCTCTGTCAACCCCTTCTCCTGCCTTCAGTCTTTCTCAGTATCAGGGTCTTATCCAATGAGTCGTCTCTTTGTATCAGGTGGCCAAAGTATTGGAGCTTCAGCTTCAGCATCAGTTCTTGCAAAGAATATGGACTGGTTTGATCTCCTTACAGTCCAAGGGACGCTCAAGAGTCTTCTCCAACACCACAGTTCAAAGGCATTAGTGCTTCTGTGCTTATCCTTTTATATCCAGCTTCCACAGCCATACATGACTACTGGAAAAACCATAGACTTGACTAGACAAACCTTTTTAGGCAAAGTAATGTTTCTGATTTTTAATACACTGTCTAGGTTGGTCATAGCTTTTCTTCCAAGGAGCAAACGTCTTTTAATTTCATGGTTGCAGTCACCATCTGCAGTGATTTTGGAGCCCAAGAAAATAAAGTCTCTCAGTATTTCCATTGTTTCTCCATCTATTTACCATGAAGTAACGGGACCCGGATGCCATGATCTTAGTTTTCTGAATGTTGAGTTTTAAGCCAGCTTTTTCACTCTCCTCTTTTACCTTAACCAAGATGCTCTTTAGCTCCTCTTCACTTTTTGCCATAAGATCTTTTAACTCTGTTTTTTTGGTTTGTTTGTTTTGTTTTTAACAATCAATTAACCTCTATTGCTACATTGTCAAGTTCACCAACCCTTACTTCTATAATATTTAAATATTTTGTATCTAGCATTTCTTTTCTCACCATATCTATGTTCTCTTCTACCTTCTGTGTTTATGAGGAATATTTATAACAGCTG